CATATGGTGAAAAACTGACTTTGAAAAATAAATCTGTTCTTTTTTTCTTATAAAAGGCTAAATAAAACAAAAATATTGGTGGTAATTTTTGTCTGTAACATTACAAACAGCAGAAAAGGTTCTGCAGCAACATATTTTTGGCACAAATGGACCTCCATATAACAGCCTCTGTGTCTCCATCACTGTTTATAATGCAGAGAGGCTTTCTTGGTGTTCTTACTGAACAACGCTTTGTCTCAGTCCATTCCTCATCTGGTTCTTGTTGTTGGACGGTTTCCAGTCCTGGGTGCTGAGGTGAGACGTCACAAAGTTGTCAACTTTTTGTCGCAGGTTCTGATAGGCAGGCTGGGAATCAAAAGCAACAATTGGATGAACTGCACGTTGTTCCCCTTCACTGATAAATGCGGTCGAGAATGATCAAGACAATGCAAATGTTTTTTTGACTCGCTAAAGTTTAAAAGCAAAGGGCTTCGATGGAAAAAATGAATACCTTGGTGTCAACATCAGCCAAACAATCCCTGCGAAACTCGTCGAAAAGTCCCTGGTTCTTTAGATGCTCCACAATCATGGCGATGAGCTGCGGGTCTCCCGGAGGAAGACTAGCTGGATTAACATTAACATTGCCGCTACCCTCCGCCATTCCAAATCTAGAAATTATAAACTGGTTTACTTATTAAAGACATTGAAAGCTACCTTAGCCGAGCCATCAGCGCTAACCCCTAACCTCAGCAAAACGTGCGTTTGATTTATGTATCTCAACAAACTGCGGGTACATCGAATTGTTCCTTTTGTACGCGAAACGTAAAACGGTAGATACCAGAGTTCAAATCAAACGCGTCAAAAATTGTTCGTCGCGCATGCGCACTTGGAATTTGACCTCGGAAACATTTCATTCAAGTGGCGTCGCGGACTCAAGTAAACAACGTAAAATTGGAAATAAATTTCAATTCTTTACACTTTTACCTATTTTATTTTTTTAATCGGAATTGAATCTGTGAGGAGGTCTGATTGCACGCGTTTTCTTTGTGCATCATCTTGTATATAGAGAGCTTCGATCATTTTGGAGGTAAAGTTAGCTTTGTTGGCTAACATGTCTAATCCTCATGGATTGCGCATTGGTAAAATGTAAACAAGTTAATTGTCCTGATGTGGAGTTAGAACAAATGTAATAAACCTGCCTGTGGTGTTTAACATAATAATATACCTGAAGTTGTTAGCGAATTGTATCCACTCGTCAGATTTAATAAATTAAGCAATATTTTACAAACAAAATGTGTACGTGTAAACATTTAATGTGTATGTTTTGTTTGTCGTGTTTAGTAGAAGGCTTATAACAAATATATTCACTGATAAAACTTGTAAATATTGCCCTACTATGAGTGTACACACCCACTTTTGTTTCTTTGACTTTTGTGTGAAGAGTATTCAGATCATTAAATCTTTGAAAATATCTCAGAGGATAAATAAAGACTTATTAATTAATAAAGAAAAAGCTTTGATTAAAAAAAAACTCTTCTATATAAGCTGCACATAAAAAGCAGCATCTCAGTCGTCAGAGTAATGTGACATGTTATATTCTCATTGCAGATGAGTGGTGAAGAAAATGCAAACAAAGAGTTTGTGGAGCAGCTGCGAATGCAGGAGCTGTATGGACAGAGGAAKGAGGACGGATCGGACCCCTACACTTACACCGATCCAGCAGATGGAACTGTGTATGACTGGGACCCTGAGAAGAAAGCCTGGTTCCCTAAAGTATTACTTTCCTTATCAACCTTCTTTCATTAAAGCTGTATTTACTCTTTAAAGTGTATGTGAAAAGATAACTCCACCCCAAGGYGAAATTTGAAAAATGCATCAAAGTGGGTGGGGAAGTGGGTGTTAGAGAGCGGAGGTGTGGCCAGGATGAGAACGTAACAGCTAGCATTAGCATAATTGATGCTACATGGAGAGTGACCATAGCGATGCAGATAGTTACATCTCTGAAAGCTCTGAGGTGGAGGATTTTTCACCCCCCCTCCTCACCAGAGGCAGAGAGAGACTTGATCAAGTCAGCTCAGTCTGGGACTGACTCGTGTTGTCTCCCTGGATCAGGACCTGGAGCTCCAGCAGCCTCGGCTGTGCTCTGTCCGCCTCACACCACACCAGCCCCGGACAGAGGAGGTGGAGCGCTCCGACAGCCTGACAGAAAAAAATAAAAGCATACAGCTGCAGCTGCTCACAAGATCGCTAGTTTAAATCAGGAATAAAAGTGTTGGGTCTTGTTTGACTGAAGTTCGGTCCGGTTCGGGCTGTTTGTTGATGATCGCAGACATGCAGCTGCCCCGCTGCGCCGCGCTCTTTGTCTTTTTTTTCCCTCCCCTCCTGCTGTGCAGGACGTACTGCTGGTGTGTGTGTGTGTGTGTGTGTGTGTGTGTGGAGAGAGAAGCGCAGCAGTCAGCTCTCCCCACCCGAGGCTGAAAGTCAACAGACGATCATGCTAAGCTTGCTAACTGTTCCGCCCTCTGACTGCTGCAGGGGCGTGTCTTAGAGAGAGGCTTTTATACCAGAACACAGCCGCTGTGACGAAACCGTGCAGAAGACACGTCACCGTGGAGAGCCGTTAACCAATATGTAAATTAGCCTGCAGTACCACTGCTCTACCCATATGAGCAGCAAAAAGACGTTTTTAGACCAAATATTACAGATTTGAACAAATACACACAAAAACATCAAAATTAGCACAGAAACAGTACTATATAACATTTTAGACACATTCTAGACAGTTTATCAGCTAAAAAAAGTTAATTTTGGGGTAAGTTACTCTGATATTTTTTGTAACTGTCTGCAAATGTGAAGAAATGCTGTGACCATGAAGTTCTACTTATTGTCATTTTGAGTGATGGTACATTGTGCAGCATGTTAACTCAAGCTTAACATATTATTATGAATAAAGCTGTCTGTTTAAATCGTTTATTTCTCAGGCTTTGATTAAACTTTCCTTATGCTGTAGAGCCTGAATGGAAGAGTTTAGCTCAACATTGCAGTAAAGTATTTGTTTCATGGTTATGCTGTATGGCTTGCATGACTAATTACGACTGGAATAAACTACAATCTATTAGTGAAGTGTTGTTTTTTTAGTTGTAAAAATTTTAATAGTCTCATAAGGGTTGGCAACATTTTTCTTGTTCTCACTTCCTTTATAATGTTAAATTCTTTCTGTAGATAACAGAAGACTTTATGGCAGCCTACCAGGCCAACTATGGCTTCAACCAAGGAGAAGAGTCGGAAGCAAACAGTACAGCAGAAAGCAGCTCTGACCCGGCACTGCCTGACCCAAACAACAAGGCTCCGGAGAAAGAGAAACCAGCAGAAGCCCCCACAAAGCCAGTCCCAGAACAGCAAGAGACCTCTGCTAAAGAAGCCAAGCAGAAAGGAGAGAAGAGGAAATCAGAGCCAGGTAATCTAACGTCAACAAACAAACCTGCATATAGGAAAATGTACATTTCATAAGCTCTGCTTTTAATGTTTTCCCTTCGTTTCACTCTAGGATGGTTTGATATTGATGAGCAAAAAAACACAAACGTCTACGTGTCAGGTTTGTCTCTCCAAATACGAAGCCGTCGACTGGGTTTGTTTTTATTTCTCGTTTCTAACTTCCCTCTCCCTCGTTCTCAGGCCTGCCTCCTGACATCACGCCCGATGAGTTCGTCGAGTTGATGTCCAAGTGCGGCATTGTGATGAGGGACCCTGTTACCGATGAGTACAAGGTGAAACTCTACAAGGACAAAGATGGAAACCTGAAGGGAGATGGCCTCTGCTGTTATCTCAAGGTTAGCCCGTCTTTCTGRTGTTCTGCATGTTGTGTGTGTCAGAGGCTTTTCAGGATATAAATGAGTGCTAATGGTGATATGTTTGGTATGTTAATTTGATTAGTGGACATTCAGGAATATTAGCTGCTTTGTAAAGTTTCCTTTTCAGCCCAAGCAACACATTGTTTCCCTACAGAAAGAGTCAGTGGCGCTGGCTGCGCGTCTGATTGACGAGTCAGAGGTTCGAGGTTATAAACTCCACGTGGAGGCGGCGCGATTCGAGCTGAAGGGCCAGTATGACGCCAGCAAGAAGAAGAAGAAAAGCAAAGATTACAGGAAGAAGATGCAGCTGCAGCAGAAGTAAATTCATGTTTCGCTTCTCCCTTTATGTGCCGGGGTTTTAGTGTCACTTCAAACCTTTACAAGTGCCTGTGACATGGAGTTTTTGTAATAAATATGAATGCATTTTTAGAAAGATAACATTAAATTTCACACCACTGAGATAAACAGATATTTGCATGTGAAGTAACAGGAAGTGATGTCAGTGGGGCATGTCTGCATGCAAACAGAGCGTTGCTACAATAACTAACACTGACTGTAGAGAAGAATCTGATGCTTCTTTAGATTATTTTTAATCTCTATCAGATAAAGAAGAGTCAGATTATAAATAGTATTGTTTCAATAAACAAAGACCAGACGGTTTTCTTAAAGAGTTCCCCTTTGATGTCACTTCCTGTTTCTCTTTGGCTGAGCCAAATAAAAAAATATGCCAATTATGTGACAAAATGGGTAAAATCATATCTAACATGCCACGTTTCTTACATATAAATATGTTTTCTGTGACATATACATGTCACAGGCACTTTAATGTTTTAACCTACATTTTCAAAACTAAAGCAGAGAGAGATGTATTTAATAAGTTACAGCCGAGGTTACTTAGAAATATTCTATATCTGTTGCAACATGCTTTTGGTTAGTGGGTGTTTCACTGGTGAGGATGATAAAAGTTAAACTTTTGCACATTTGTGTTCTTCAGCTGTCTCAGAATATACAGTATTAATCATGATTTATACCTGAGGTTACAGTACTCAGCTTTATTTCACTGGAAAGTTATTTTGAGTTGAACGGTTTACCTTTTAATTCAATTTTATGTAGGTTAAAATAGTTGACATTTGAAACATTTCTTAGGTGACTTTAACTCTCAAAAAGCAGAAAACAATGTGTGATTTGACCAGAACTTTGTGGATCTTGTTTTTTTTAAAGGGGGCCTATTATGCAAAATTCACTTTTTAAAGGTTTTTTTTACTCAACTTTGAGTATGTACTTCTTAAACAAACAGTCCTAGGACCAAAAAAATGCACACAGGGGCATATTTACTGTAAGTAAACATATTTTTAATGTATATTAACAACAAGTTTTATACTTCCGTCATTTTGTGATGTCACAAGCCGTACGACAACTCACCGGAACCTGCGTTCAGCCCCTTACCTAGCAACCCCCGGGTGAGACTCCACCTCCTCAGTATAAAAAGCCGTCACCGTGTTGTTGTGCAATGTGTAGCTCATTTCACAACAAGCCTGCAATAGGGCAATGGGTAGAGTGTTGGACCAGAGAGTGGGAGACCAGGGTTTGAGACCAGCATGGACACTATTTATTTATTTATTTTCGTTCGTTATGAACACATTTTCTCATGTACCTCTATTGTTTAGCTTGTTAAAGCCTATTTGTTCGAGTTTCTGAGGTATTTTGACCGCTGCTGCTCCCTGCTCTGGTAACAGCATGCAGAGTGAGBGCAGAGCAGAGGAGGGGGAGAAAAAAAAAGAAGCTGCGACCACGACTCTGCCTCTGGGTCTCATATGGTTGTACAACRGAGCTTCTGCTATTATTAGCCATGCTAATGTAAACACTGGCTTTGGAGGGCGGAGTTAATGTCAACAGATCTTTTGAGGGCGTTACCAACAGAGCTCATTAACATAAACAGCTCTTCTGAACAGAAGTCAGAGCAGGCAGAACTAGAAAATGGGAAATTTTATTATCTGAGAATTATTTTGTGCATTAAATTGAATGAACATGGTCTGGATAGCCCACAGACTTACCATAAACATTTCTAGGACCCATAATTGGTCTCCATTAAATAATCCAAAATATGAAAACGAGTCCCATTTGAGCCTTTAAACTTCCACCACGCGTCTTGTTTTTGTTTCTGCAGGCAGCTCGACTGGAGGCCCGAGAAGCAAGGCGACGTTCGGAAGAGGCATGAAAAAGTTGTCATCATCAGGAACATGTTTCATCCCAGCGACTTCGAGGTGCAGAGAGGCAGACTCTTTCCACAAACGCACAGTTTCTGCGCGCTTTCTGGATGCCGTGAGCGTTAATCTGTGCGCTGTGTGGGCTGGTTGTTGCAGGAAGACCCGCTGGTGCTGAACGAGTACCGTGAAGACCTGCGGAGCGAGTGTGAGAAGTTCGGTGAGGTGAAGAAAGTCATCCTCTTTGATGTGAGTTTATCTGTTGTCTCATAGTCTGGGTTTGAACTGAGACAGTCTTAATTAGAAAAAAAAAACGAGCTTCTGTGTGGTCGTTTGTGCTGCAGAGACACCCAGATGGCGTTGCGTCAGTCGCGTTTAAGGAGCCCGAGGAGGCYGACGCCTGCGTGCTTTCCTTTAATGGCCGCTGGTTTGGAGGACGGCAGCTGACTGCGCAGCTCTGGGACGGAACAACAGACTACCAGGTCGAATATTTTATTCATACGTGATGCAACATAAACACCAGGAAACCAAAGTTTCTATTGAGCTGCGTATTTTTTTCTGTTCATGTTACWACTTTAAAATGGGCGGAGCTTGACTGGCGTCTCCTGCCAGCAAAATCAGTCTAAATGTTAGACAGCTGTGGGATTGTTTTAAGTTGCCAAACATCTTTTAAAAATTATAATCAAACACACTCTTGCAATAAGAACTTGTAAATCTAATAAATGTGTTTTTAAAATCTTCATTTTTTAAAAAATATTTGTGGGATGAAGCCATCTAATGAATAGAAAAATGCTGAGACGGATCCAAACTCGGATCTTTTCTGTGATTTCTGTAGGTGGAAGAGACGACGCGCGAACGAGAAGAGCGGCTCAAAGGTTGGTCGACTTTCTTGGAAGGAGACAATAAAGAGCAGCCGAAGAACGCAGCGGACAAACCAACAGGGGGCAGCAGCGCGGCTATAGAACCCAGCGAGTCCAGCAGCGCCACGGAACCTGAGCCGCAGCCACAAACAGAACCACAAACCTCAGAGGAACAGGAAGTGGACTCTACCGACAGCAGCCTCGCAGGAAGTGATAATGAGGATGCCTAGACCCCGAGGACAGTCCTGCTTTAAGGTGGGGAGACGTGAAAACCCCCTGTTCAGAGCATGAAGACACATTTGAACAGTTTGAGCTGGTTTCCAATGTAGAAAAAAATAAAGTGTTTTTTGTGTGCCCTTTTCTTTTTGGTCATTTTGGTTTCTACTTCCTGTAGAAGCTGCACAAGCTGGTCCCKAAACGCACATTTTTGTCTTTTACTGCAGTTTGTTCGAGCATTATAGGTCTAATTTAGTTAATTACTAAAGAAAACGTGACACAACTTTGCTGGGTTTGATTTTTTTTCCCTCCAGCTTGGTTTAATTTTGTTCAATTTTTAAAGTGTGTATCTTTTCTTAAAAAAAAAAAAACTACAACAGTCGCAGCAACTAGATAAGTTTGTGGTTTGCAGCTTAGCACAATGTGAACCCTTTGTCAAAAGAACRTCATGAAAAATGACAACCGCTATGAAAATATGGTTTCTCATCGCTACAGCCGTTTTCGCTAACACAAGCGTCGATATCAAAGGGACTTGATTTGGTGTAGAAACTCCAARCTGATGTTCACGTCACATCTGGCTTGAGTTAGAGCTTTAAAACACAAAGCACACGTTTGAATAAATCCTGTTTGTCTGGGAAAACAGCACATCTGTTGTTTTTCATGGTTTTATAAATTCAACACTGACAGTTCTGACAGGCTGCAAATATGAACAACTTTCATATCACATGAAAAAAAAGTGTCGATAAGTGATTAATAAACTAGTTACATCTGGTTGGTAGACAAGGTATGCATGACCGCGAACAGAGTTAATGTGTGGAATGCACTGATTTATATACCAGATTTACACAACTGACAAATCAGTCCAAATATTGGAATTGAAACCTGCAGCACAAATGATTTGTTTTGTTCATTTTTTTCATTAATTATATATTTGTGACTGCAGCTGTTTTATGAAGCTGCTATGTTGTATTTTTTAAACCAAAGTCTGCATGAGATGCCCTACTCTTCCACTCACATTCATGCTAAATGACTTTTCTTTTATGCATATAAATAATTATTTAGTTTGCCAGATCAAATCTTGACTGGGGACCTTTATGAGTAGAGTTTGAATTTTCTCTCCGTGCAAACGTGGGTTTTCTCCGGGTACCCTGGTTTCCTCCCACAGACCAATAACATGAAGGTAACTGGGTGTGAATGGTTGTTCGTCTCTCCCTGTGGCAGACTTGTGACCTGCAGGGTGTACCCTGCCCCTCGCACAGTGACCCCCGCAACCCTTAAAGGAAGAAGCAGGTAAAGATGGATGGAGATAGGAACTACAGGAATCAACATCTGGAAAAAAGAAGTGTATTTAAATGTTGTATTGGAACTATCTGATTGRGAAGCTGTTCTTATTCCAGCTTCAACTTCCAGGTTCCAGTCAGAGGTCTGCTTTTTATTCAAATTCAAGTTGTATTTATTCATTTCATTAAAACAAACAAAACACATTACATACAACAAAACAATACAAATAAAATAAAATCAAAGGCAAGAGAAGAAAAAAAAATCATATATCTGCTCCTTTTTACAACAAAATTATATTAATTTCAAACAATAATAAACAAAAACAAAAAATCAACTCCTCAAACAGTGACTCATGCAAATAC